GCACCAGAGTCCAAAGGCCTCCATTCTTTGGCGCTCAGCCTTCCTTATGGTTCAACTTTCACAGCCATCCATTGCAACTGGGAAAAATGTAGGTGTAGCTTAGATTAAATCCGATTTATGTCTGAGCTGATGTGTTGGATGTTCTGCTTGGGAGCAAGCCGCCTACATTATTGCGGTACTTTTTTAAAGTAATTAAGCACAGGATCAGTTTCTTAGTTTAGAGAGCAGGTTTTTTCTTTTTTTTTTACAAACCTGATAGGGTTAAGATGTGTGGACTTCAATTCCCAGAATTCCCCAAACAGTTTAAAATTGCCAGCTTTGGAAACCACTGGTTTAGAGAGATTCTTTCTAAACTTGGTGAGTGTTTGGTTGTTTTGAGAAAAGTGCATTCACGGTTTCTTTTTCTGCATAGAATGATTGTTTTCTGGTAAAGGTTGCAAAGGTGTAACTGCTACAGGTCTGAAGTAAAAATAAACTTTTGCCGGACTTCAATGAACATTTACTAAAGTCAACTGCAGGCAGTAAAAGAAAGCAAACGAAAAGAAAATGCGTGCATGTGGTTGTTGCAACCTCTTTTGTGTTCTCCCACCAACACAATCACAGATTTCTCTACAGTTTTTCTGCCACCAAGTTATCTTCAGCTGATTCTTATTCACCGGTCTTTCTGCAGTTTACATAACCTAATCTACAATTCAGGTGTTCATTTGAGACCATATTCACTACTGTAGCTTTCCAAGTGACAGCGCCACACATATTTTTGTACAACACAACATGTAATGATGCAGCTTTGGTTCTCGTGTCTATGAGTTTTACTTTTGGATGATTATTATCCTGTCCTTTCCTACATATTTTGTTTTTATGACTGTTTAGTAGGCAAAATGGGTAAAAAAATACAGAAAGATTTGTTCTGGTCCCTACCAGATTGCATGAAGTCCATGTGGCAGTGGCATTTAAGTGGGTTAGAATATACCTCTGTATCTCTATTGAGTGGTCAGAGAGCAATGAAGAATTAAGGACAGTAAAAGATGGATATACCGTATTTTTCAGACTATATGACGCACCAGTATATAAGACCCACCAACATTTTCATGTTCTTTTAAGAGGGAAAGGGTGCGTCGTATACTCCGAAAAATACGGTAAATAAATACTAGTTCCAGAAATTTCTGAAAAGTATCTCAAAGTGCAAAACTTAGCAAAATGCCTTGCTTAGCCACAGAAATGTGCAAACCTCACTTAAGGTTGGTGTTGCTTAGCAACAGGAATTTTGGGCTCAAGTTTGGTCATTTACTTGTATCATCATCATTTAACGACCCCATAATCCCTTGGGGGGAACAGAGTCTGGGCAACCGAATGAGCGTTTTTAATGGCCAGACGCCCTTCCCTGTCGCCAGTGCGGAGTTTTGTTCAACAGATATATTCTCATTGTTCCCAGAGAGAGAAATAACTGCCTCTACCTAGGATCGAACTCACAGCCTCCTGATTGTGAGCTGAGAGCTCCACCTTTAGGCCACCGCACCACTCTATTGAGGTTTACCTGTATAT